TGGATGATATTCATCCCTCCCTGCAGCTCTAGGCTTTATTCAAGTTCATTTTATCTTCTTTACACAGTATTTAAGGAAAATAATTGTATATTAGTTGATATAATAGTTTTGATCAATGAAATTCAAGCATTTCAAACCATGTGATTTTTTTTAATTACACATTTTTATTTATTTGGATACAATCATTCAAATACATTGTGTTCCATGTATGCACATACAATCTTTCATTTACATTGTATCACATTGATATATATTGTCTTTCTCCCCTTACAATCATCTTATTAATGATTACATTGGTGAACTGATGGTACTTCTACCTGAATAGAGAGAGTGTAGATGTGTGGGAGGTCCCTTCTTGCCTGTAATTGCAAGAGCTGTCAGCAAGGTCGGTGGAATTTGAAGAGCTACTTTATCCCTCGTGCTGTAATATCCCTCTTTTAGATAAGCCAATTTCTGATTTATCCATCCATATCAAACTAGTACTCTGAAGGAACAAGCATATCTCATTTGCTGAAGGATCTTCTGTTCAATTTGGAAACTTTGAACATCTGTATCCACAAGAAAAGTCCAGTCCAGAGGAAGCTATCAGGTCGCAGCAATCAACACTGGCCCTCAGCAGGGATCATCGTCTCTTCATGTGGCTGTGTTCTAGGAATCTCCTCCAGCCAGTTGTTACAAGGTTCAAATGGGCATCAGCCACAAACTTAGGAGTCCATAGTTTTCCCTACATTCCAGACCTGTTGGTCACTTTACTCAGTGTTAGCCCCCACATGAGGGCAACAAGTCAATAAGCTAGGGGTCCTCATGCCTACCTGTTTCTCAAGCCAACAACACTTTTTCTCTTATGCCAACATGTGTTCATGCTAGGTGGACAGTGCCTGTTTCTTCACTGTTGTATTCCTCCTACTTTCACTCTATTCGATCCATGGCTACAAGTGCACATATGAGTGAGCATACTTGCCATCTCCCTTTAATTTCAAGTCCTGGAAATGGGATCTGGTGGGCACCAACTTTACTTGCCCCAGATGCCAAACAGCTTGTTCCAGTTTTAAAAAGTCAATCTCTTCATTCTTTCCCCCCCCACCTCTTTCATTCTTTCTGTCTTTCTTTCTTTTCCTGCTTGACTTTCTTTCAAATCTGAATCTCTTTAATCAAAAGTCCAATGAGGGTCTTCAAATCTATTCAAATGCAAATATCCTCAGAGTCCTGGAAGGGACTTAATCTTTTCCCTCACTAAACCCCATCATCCACTACCAAATTCTACTTTTAACAAGCTTATCTCCAGGGTAGAACTTTCATCTTAGTACTTCTAATTAAGTACTGGCCAAAGGTGGAATGACACATTAAATCTGCAATATCCAGTTGGCAGAATTACATGCTTTCTAAATCTATAATATCTGTGTTGATTTATTTATTTTTTTTTAGTGAGAGTTTATTTTATTTTATTTTTGTTGTTGTAGTATGATGTCGAGTCAGATCCAACTGGCACAGGAGAAAACTGCCCTTCCTTCTCCAGGGGAGCATCTAGTGGATTCGAACTGCACGCCTTAGGGATTGCAGCGCAGCTTCTTGCCAGTAGGCCACTATAGTTCCTCTATGTTGATTTATATCATACATTTTTTAAAATCCCCCTCTACTTTTTTAAAAATTTTCATATAACCACTCATATACACTATATATGGAGAATATTCTTGATATCATCCCATAGCTCATCTGGTATTCATTCATTAGTGTTCATTCGATGCTTCAAACTTGTTCTTGAAAAGATTTTTAAATTCAGGTAGGACAGACTCAAGGTCCTATTTTGGTTTTTTTGGGATTTATTTTAATTTTTTAAAATAATTTTTTTCTTTTAATTGTGATTTTAATGAACATTTACAAAAAAGGTAGCTTTTCATTCATTCACTGTTGTATTTTAATTTTCTTTAGCTTCAGTTTGAACTGCTTATGAGTAGTTGATAATCTGTTCCAGGTGGTGTGATTGATGTTGTTAATGATTTCATCTTGCTTGGATCCACACTCTTGGTAACAGCAGTCCAGAATTCAAAAGACAAGATTCATTGGGGAAAACTACTATCCAGAATCTCTCAGGGAGCTCTGGTGGTATAGTGGCAAGAAGCTGCACTGCCATCCCAGAGGTATGTGGTTCAAATCCACCAGATAGATGCTCTGCTGGAGAAGGAGGGACAATCTCCTCCTTTACCAGTCAGATCTGATTTGATGGTACACACAAATAATAATTAAAAAAAAAATCTCTCCAGAATGCTAAAGGGCAAAAATGTCAGTCTAGAGTCTAAATTGCACCTAATCCAGGCCATGGTCTTCTCAATTGCTTGTTATGCATTCTAGAGCTGAACAATGAATAAAGACAGAAGAAGAATCAGTGTTTTTTTAGTTGTGGTGCTGGAGGACTATCGAACATACCATGGACTGCCAAGAGGACAAACAGGTCTATCCTAGAGAGAGAGAAACTAGTTTGTTTCTTGGAGACAAAAGATTTTTAAATTCTATCTCACATAATTTGGGCATGTTGCTAGGAGGGACCAGTCCCTGGAGAAGGACATCATGCTTGGGAGGATTAGCACAAGAGAGGAAGCATGCTAGATGAGATGGATTGACATAGTGACAGTGGCCATGGGGTCAAGTGTGTCAGAGATGGTGAGGTCGGCTCAGGATAGGGCAAGGTTCAGAACCATTGAGTCCCTATAAGTTATAGTCAACTCAATGGTACATAACAACAACAATTACCATTAACAATCTTTCTTCACTATCCAGTATTTACTTAACTGTCTGCTCTATGAAGGTCACTGTTACAGGTGTTGAAACTCAGGAATGAATGGCCAGAGTGACAGGAGCATAATTAAGAAGTTGGAGGGTTTTATTCAAATTTAGTATCATATATTTTGTGGATATTGTTAGAAGGGGCCAGTCAGTCCTAGAAAAAAAACATTGACTAGATGGACGGTCAGTAAAAGAAAAGAACACCTTTAGCAATATGTATTGACATAGTGACTGTAACAATTGGCTCGAGTGTATCAGAAATTATGAGGATGGCATATTACGGTAGAGCAAGATTCAGATCCCTTGTTTATAGGATTGCTATGACTCGAAAACACCTAACAGCAACAAAGTAATAGTTAATTTCAGGTGATGTTGAGGTTTGTGTTGAGTTTAAGAAGAGCATATTGTGAACAAGGAGTTGGAAACAACCTAAGTGCCCATCAACAAACGAATGGCTAGAGAAGCTGTGGTATATTCGCACAATGTGAAAAGATTGAAATTAAAATAGTCCCTATAGTTCTCAGCTGAATTAA